CCCCCAATCCAGGTTTTCGCAGCGCTGCACTGAGACCTCAGATAGCTCGGTCTGGTCCCTAGTGCAGAACGGCGACGAGCCCTTGTGGAACATCGTCGGCTTCAACCTGCCAAACCTCGAGGAATTGGAGATGGCAAGAGGGGTCGTTCTGACGAACCCCAAGTGGCCCGGCCCCACACAAGCAGGTGATCAGGGGCGGCCGCCGCCGCCCCCGCTGCCGCGGCTGCGGGTGCTGAGGGTCGCCGTGCTGGACTGGCACGACCAGGGCGGTGGCATCGAGGACTACGGCAGCGAGCTCTGCCAGATCGCGCCCAACCTCGAGGAGATCTATGTGGAGAGCGTAACCTCGGGGTTCTGCCCGTGGGCCACCCTGCACGGCCTGCGGCGGCTGAGGCTGCTTGAGTTGGGCGATGAGAGTTCTGTGGAGGGGGCACCCACTTGGATGATGGCGTCCCGCCTCACTCGGGACGAAGACGACCCCCTGCGCCTGCCGCTTGGGCGCGATGGCGCCATCGAGGGCGTCCCGGCCGGGCCGGATGGCGACGTGGCGGCGCCTGCTGAGGAGGGCGCCGGCGAGGCCGCGGGCGCTGGCGGGCTGGAGCTGCGCTTGAAATGGGATGTTAACGGTAATGTCCGACCGCGCGGTCGCGTCTGATGCCGGGCGGTCCCGTTGCTATTGTATACCGCAGTTTGTTGAGGTTCTGGGGACGGCCACACGTCCTGGATTTGCCTGGATAGTGACTTGTGCCGTGCTTGATTGTGTCCGGGCCAGGAGAGCACCAGCGCCCGCCGTGCGCCCCGCCTGACGCGCCCGCGCGTCGCCGCCGCCCTGTCTCCACGCTTTTTCAGGCCTCAACCCGCAGGAGCGCTTCGACCTCACCGACATCGTGGCGCAGTGGGGCGGCCTGCGCCGCCTGCACCTGGCGGGTGTCGTGGAGGGCGCGGACAGGGTGCTGAGAGTGCTTGGGGAGAGCCCGCTGAGCGGCTGCCTGGAGGAGCTGCACGCGCGGAGCTGCTGGGTCAGGCCCCACTGGGATGAGATGCAGGAAGAGGCCGGGCTCGCGGCGCCGCAGCTGCCGCTGCCGCTGCAGGCGGAGCTGCTGCCGCGGCTGCTGGTGCCGCTGCTGCATTTTCGGCGGATCAGGGCGCTGTCGCTGCAGCTGATCGACCCCGACGACGGGTGGCCGACGGCGCCGGTCGCGCCGTCGGAGCTTGAGCGCATGGCGGCGCCGATAAGGTGGCGGGAGGAGTGGCGGTCGGGCGGGGAGGAGGAAGGCGAGGAGGCACAGGC